ATGCCGAAAGCACATTTATCTGATTTAGGAGCCATGTCAAACCGAAAACGTTTTTCATTCGTAAATACGATACCGTCTAATATTTTGAACTAAAATTCTCCAGGTTTTGTTTCTAATGTTGTACAGAAAGATAGTTAGTAAACTCTTTTCCCGTCATTAGTTAAATGATGATACCTTGATTGCAGATAGCTTCTATTCAGCGGTAAGTGTGGTTTGTTTTTTCGCCAGAAAAGACCGATAGATGTGCTTTGAAGAACCATCAAGAATTGGAATTAAGATATTATTTATCAAAATAGCTGGTGTATTCGACAGAGGAGAAATCACTAGTGCAATATTAGCTGTTCGAATTACCAAACGCCATGATGTTGGATTACAACTGAATTACACTCATAATGGCGAAATTTTATGCGGGGTTAAGTTGTTCATCATCAACCGAAAAAAAGGCCCAGATTTTACAAAAGTCTTGATCCGCAATATCTCTTCGGTTAACAGATTTCTTATTAACACAGAGAAACTTGTTGTTCCAGTTAAATGAGTTGACTCGTTACTTCGTGTACTGAACTAGGTTCCCTTGCGTTTTAGGGCAATAAGGAAATCCGTCTTTTGCCCGCAGGCCGCCGTTAGGCAACTTGCTTAGTTCAATTTTCAGTGCAAAATATCAACAGTTTCAAATTGTCTCTACTAAACTTAATGTTTTCATTTGTACTGCTCAAAAACTTGGATTAACTTTTTATTCCATTTTATAATGTCGCGCTCCTCGAAAGTGCGAAAATTTTCTTCTCGTGTATTCTTGGTTTTCACATGACGTCCCCAAAATTGAAACTAAGAAACTATCGCTTCTTTTGAGTTTCTACTTCCATGTGATATTAGAGCACCTGAAAACCTTTATACAAACAAATTTTGGGTTCAAAAGGGTTCTTTGTTTTGCGATACAGGACGCTTGAATTTCCAGGCTTTTGCGTGACGCGGCATTTGGCTGACGGCCGGGAAAGCTCTTACGTGAGTTAAAAACATTACGGATTTTTGACGAGATTTTGCTATCTAAACATTCCTTGTCTTAGAATAAATATTGCTTTAATCTTTTTGAGTTCCTCAAGCGAAGAATTCACGCATAAGTAGGAAACTCAAAAACAGATGTTTCTGTTGGTTTCCGGCGGCCATATTTGTGTCGCTCAAAGGGACACAAACACGGCGTCTCCATACAAAGCCTTATAAATTTGGGTAAAACGTTTTTCCGAATATCTCGCCTATGAACTATTGCATAGACCTGATTCTTGACAAGGCCTTTTTTACATTTTTCTTCTTTCATTTCCCAGATTCTCGACTTTCTGTATTAAAAGATTTCCATTTGTATTTCTGCTTTCCCAAGTGAGTGAAAACCGAGAATTAGATTTCAGTATACATTTAAAAACACATTAAAATCTTCATTTCGCGCCAGAATAAACTAGTTTGCTCACAAAGGGCTTCTAAAAAATTCACAAGGTTTGTCCCTCTTCGAGTCCACCTTCTGGAGATACGCCGGCGTGGTAGTTGGAATACATTGCCGAGGCAAAGATCTGGCATATTTTCCTCCTCGTCGTTCTTTCCCCTCGACATTTGTTTATATATTTGTAGTGAGAATGCAGTGCATATATCGGTGGATTTTACTTCATGCGTTTTCGTGCGGCTTGTTACTATGAAACTGAGAAGAGTGCCGGATTTCCTCCGTTTGTACGCCTTAATTTTGTTGTCGAATGCAAGGTTAACTACTGTATGGTAAGAACTTAATTTATTTTAGTTGTGACAGCATTACAGCTTAGTCATGACAGCTTTGGAAGAACCTGAAGTCTTCACCGTCATTATCGAGTAAAATATTTTTTCAAAAAAATTATCTCGTTTCCCAAAGTGCGTGCTGCTGAGGACCAGTCGGCAGTAAATTAAAACACAAGCCTTATTGTTCTCGCGAAAATCGAGACGCATTTATTACAACTTGACGACAAGTATAGACCAGTAATCGCATAGAGGAAATTAAATATCAAATTTGCATCATGAGAAAAGGATTATAACGCCTGAGGTGCTCCAAAAGTCCCATGCAATTTACTGTAACAACGTTACAGTAAATTGTATGGGACTCTCCAGCAGTATACTTACACTTACAGTTCAGGCGAATTGCGTCCACTCATGAATAACACAGTTTCAGTCAACAATACCCATTTTATTGTGATAGACTCGGTTGAAGGTCTGTTGTTTTTTACTAAAATATTAGTTGATAAAATTACTTTTCTTAAGCTGTCAGATCAACCTCGCCACGGGGCTCCTTAAATTGCACTTGGTGTTGAGTTAAATGTGGGGGGACTCCGATATTTTCCCTGAGCGAGTATCCTTCTCTGAACGGAGTCTTGGGATTTAAACATGGTGTACAGTTTTACTGTTTAGCGTCTTGAGCAGGATGTCTTTTTGTATGTCTTTTAGCGGTGAGCGGCATGGTCTTCATTTGCGTTACGAACAATGTTTTTCCAAAAAATCTGATTTCATGGTCGTGGTTTAAAAAATTGCTTAGTATTCTGTTTGCGAAACGGTATGAGTATGAAGTCTCTTGCCTTAAATAGGGTATTGAAATGAACGATTTTTGTCTTAACCCTTTAAGTCCCAGTATCCAGGAACAAATTCTCCAAACTGATCTTCATATATTTCCTTCAAGAATTAGTTGAGAGAATTTGATAAAAGATCAAAGCATTTTTTCTTTGATGATCATTTTATTAATTCTCATAATCTCTTGACAATGTATGGATATGTTTTGGAGAAAATTGATGTTGGTCACCATTGGGACTTACACGGTTAAACAGATCCGGGCCTGAATGCTTCGGCGGCACACTTTTACCCCTGCCTTTTGTCCCCCCCGGTTTACTTCGTCAGGTACGAAAACAATTTTTTTTTTGACACACTTAACTCAGCGTTTAGAACTCTGCAAGATGTGCTTTTAACCTGTCGCGTTTTCTTATCTTCTCAGAAAGCTATTAAAGAGGATAGTTAAACAACATCTGTCTCCTAAATAACTTCAATGACGTGTGTCACGGGCGCTAATTGTGAAAGCTACCAATGTTAACTATAAACCCACGTCATACGGTTTACTACATTAAAGAAACTCTTGTCAATGACCACATTTTCATTAATTTTAAATTCATATTTTTTCATCAAAAGTGACGGAGACGACATTTATTACACATTTTATATTTAATTAGACCGTATCTCCTCGAATAAGAATTGTTTTGAGCTGTTTTTATCTGCTCATTTTCTATTTTGAGAAATTCTTAACTTGAATCTCACGTTTGCTTTTGGCCGTATACGTGAAGCTTTAACCCTCTATTGAAAGCCGGCCAGCTGGCCAGTTGGAAAATCTGTACTAGACTGTGGACTAGTCCAGAGTCCAGTTCAGATTTTCATAATGGCCATAAAAGCCATATTCCGTTTTCTGTAAGAGAGGATTCTCCTAAGGGTAACTGAGAAAAATTAAATTAACAGGAGGCCAACGCATTTATCATTTGGTATTTAAGGAGCTATTTGTTACACTACTTGCTATCTTTTAAAAAAGCTTTTCCCATCAGTTGATCATGAGTTCCAAAATTGGTCCAGTATATTTAGGCACAATTGAAGCTGTTTCCCGTCGTCTGCTGCTACGAATGGCTGGTAAGGATGGACATGGCTTGACAATTGACAAGTTTTTATGATATGACTGCAAAAAAGGGCCAAAAAATTATTATGGTTAGATGGTGCTCCCTGATAATATTTGTTTACATCTAAAACAAACTTGGTTACTCTTTAGAGAAATAGAAATTGGCTATTACCCCCTTTAGTCCCGGGAGGAAACGACATCTATTTTCTCTTGACAATATCACTAGATAAATGGAATGGTTTTGAGAATCATTGAAATGATCTTTAGGGGAAAATGCTTTAATGACTTTGATCCCTAGAAATGTATGAAGATCAGTCTGGAGTATTTGTTGGTTGGTACTGGAGCCTAAGGAAGTAACTGCCATTATCTTTTCCTAAGTGTCATTCCAGCGAGACTTTACAAATGGTGGACAAGGTTGAAGTTAAAGGGGGACTATGCCAAATGAGTATTGCTGTTTTAGGTCAATTCTGTCTTTACTCGGTTCCTGTACCCATGCACAAAATGCTCACGAAGAGCCGGAGAACAGGGAGAGAAAATGAGAAACTACGAAAGAGAGCAAGCACCTTTAATTATTGGCCTCTTCTCCGCTTTCCGATGCTGTATTAAGTACAGGGATAAGAACGGCCTGTGTTTCAAGCAGGGTTTTGATGGATGGCTACTTAAAAGCAACCAATTAATTTGTATTTTCTGTCCACGTCCGTCTAGGCGTCGCCAGTCATTGACTTGCAAATCGATCGCCCACTCGAGAGAAGAGGGAGAGAAAATGAGAAACTACAAAAGAGAGCAAGCACCTTTAATTATTGGCCTCTTCTCCGCTTTCCGATGCTGTCTTAAGTACAGGGATAAGAACGGCCTGTGTTTCAAGCAGGGTTTTGATGGATGGCTACTTAAAAGCAACCAATTAATTTGTATTTTCTGTCCACGTCCGTCTAGGCGTCGCCAGTCATTGACTTGCAAATCGATCGCCCACTCGACTGCTTTAAAAGAAAATGTTTCGTTTTTATAGTTCACCAAATCTTGCGATACAATAGAATGTTTTTGCAAGACAATATGTATGACTTATTTTTTCTAGTTGCGGCAGAAAATATCAAGCTCCTTTTTACACGAACTTAGTAGGAGTAAAGTTATAATTCTATCAACTTCACTCGTGAACGATTGCAATGGTAAATGAAAAATATAATATGGCTCTGAAATTGACATAAATAATTCACAGTTGGTTTGCTATTACCGTAATTGCAAATGTACGTGGGTTTTAAGAGGGTTTACGGATGAAACACAATTTCAATTATTGAAAAAAGCATACATAAAAGTCATGATGCACTTGCCATATTGTTTTATTGCTCAGTCAGGATAGTAGTGCACATGTGAGACCCTGCAAAGTTAAAATTCCTACAAGCAACATGGCCAATGAACAGCATATGGAGAGACGTTTGAGGCAAATGTATTTAAAATCAACCGTACTCGTTTCTTTATTTAGTCTCTTGATCAAAGGTACGTGTTTAATGTATTATGTGACTAGTCAAAACTACTCATGATGGACATTCTTTGTTACAACTCTCCGACAGGGAAATGAGGAGACAAAATGTTTAGTGGCAATTTATTGGAAATGAATTATAATGTTATTCGAGAGACAGTAGACGAGATAAATATTGATAAATATTTGTTTATTGGTAAATCACCCGATTTTTTGTTTGTTTTGTCTTTTTATTCTGCCCCGATAAAACTGCGCAAAATTAAGCTGGAATGTCTTTTACAGACCCAAAGTTTTAACTAAACAGCACAAAAATAGTGCCACGTGAAAGTACTGCTGAAGAGGTTTTAAATGGTAACACCACAGTATTTCATCCACGGGCGCTCGGCCTCATTCAATAATTTTTGAATAGACAACGAAGGATACAGTTAGTTAAGTATTTTTTCTAACAGAACTTTCATATATTGTTCACCTTCTTTCACTGTACAGATGTATCCGCTACGAATAACTTCAGCCCCGACTGTAAGATAAGAGAATCTTGCTCCCAGTCGAGCGAGTGTCTTGTAAATCAGATTACAGTAGATCCAAACTCTAATGTTACCCTCAACTGCTCGATCAAACCTGGGGGAGTGACAAGAGGAAAAAACTGGCGCAACCTTACCAATGATGGCATGGTATTACAGCAAAACAATTCAGCAGGTGGAAATGAGCGATGTCGATGCACCCACATATATTTTGCACGTAAGGCGTGTTGGTTAAAAATGTTGCCTTCCTTTAATGTTTGAGTGTGCATGTGTTATTGCATTAACCAGAAGCCGGTTTAACCACGAGGAGAACCAGGATGCCAAAAAACCGGAGAGACAACTGTTTTCACTAACCATTACATTTTAACAAACCAGTTAGAAAAACCAAAACCCCTAAAATGGCCTTTTTTACCTTAATGACGTTACGTTTTTCTTTGTCACATCTGTATAATGTGCTCATGTGAGAAGCGGACCTTCCATGCGCGGGAAAAGTACTCTAAAATGTATCTAAAAATAAAAGGGTCCGTCAAAACGCCGTGGACATAGGCCCAGTACGGGAGTTAATCACATAATGTTATGAATGCGCTGTATTATATTTCAGTATTATATTCTATTCCAGTATGGTCTAGCACATCTAAGAAAAATACCTCAAAGCTGCAAGAATGCAGAATATCCCAGTAAAAATAATTCCAATATATGAAAATTTAACCCTATACTTGGCCATATAGTACCACAGGTTGCCCAAGCTCGAAAATCATCTGCACTCGGTTGCTAACTTTCACAATATATGGATTTGTCTGGGAGAAAAAACAATTGTTTCTATAACCTAGGAATCTGAAAGGATTTAAATAATAATCGGCTAACCTCTTTTAAATTGCGTGTTTCTCCTTCCTGTATGATTTCTGATCCGATTTATGGCCATTTAATGAGTTTTATGGGAACCGGTTTGCTCACCGGTATAACACGATGGTCTCAAACTATTACAACACTTTGGAAGTTTTTTTTAACCCAGGAGTCATTTCATAAGTAGGTTGAGCATGATCGTCCGGGTGAAAGTAGTCCTGAATAGGACTGTTGTTGACTGTGACTGACGTTTGGACAAGCCGTGTGGTAGTAATCTTCATAGTCAAAGTGAGTTGTATATTGTCAGTTGATGGTAACTCTGGTTATTAACCTGACTGGTCAATTAAGTCGTGATGTTATTGGTCGTCTGACAGTTAAGCTGTGATGTTATTGGCTATGAAGACTCTCAAATGTTATTGGTGTGTTTCGATCCATCTTTTTGTCACATCTGAACTGTCTTTTATTGTTAGTCAAATTGTCGGTTATCATCCGTCAATAAGCTACACGGTGCTGGTACACCAGCACAGTACAGACGATTTTTCAATTGTGATAAAAAGACTGATCGCACCAATAACATTACGAGTCCTCATAGCCAATAACATCAAGGCTTAACTGACAGACGACCAATAACATCGCGACTTAATTGATCAGTCAGGTCAATAACCAGAGTTAAATATCATCAACTGACGTGATACAACTCACTCTGAAGATGGCTATCGCACAGGTTGTCGAAACGTCAGTCACCGTTAACAACAGTCTTTAATTCAAAACTGCGTTAACCCGGACGATCGACATACCAAACCTACTTATTACAACACCAGAGGACACCAGAGGATATTAACAGATTATAGCTAGATTTCGGAAAAATTCCCACTTATTTATAAATTTCATTTCATCGTTATCCTGTTGTTAAGGAGCGGCGATGTCAACAGAACATGGCTCTAAAATTAAGTTCAAAGTTAGATACGTTGCTTGATGCACTACAGCAAAAGTTATGAAGCATCAAACACGAAAGAGGTAAGACCTTGAGAAATGGGCTCAGCCTCCTTGAATGTACGTATGTCATGACGATATCAGTATTTTGCTGTTTTAGGTAAACTGACGTACGTTGATAGCGGCACTTGTTCAAGTTCCCCAAAAGAGTATACACCTGACAGTCCAACAGAAGTTTGCTGTGCTTTCAGAGGATGGCCTCTACCTCGCATAATTTGGAGGAAGACGAAACCAGATTCAAAACGAATCGTCAACGGTTCTGACGGTTTTTCTCTCTCAGCGAAGTTGGAAGGAAACGACATGCTACGTTCTCTTCTTCGCATAAGTAAATCTAAAGAAAAACATGAAGGGGAATACGAGTGCATTGCAGAAAGTAGTATGCCTGGCTGGCCAAGTCCTGAACCTGTAATATTCGAACTGAGTCTTCAATGTGAGTGGGGACCCGAGGGGGCCGGGCACTCCCTATAATGGCTATGGGTGGTTCTGTCTGATATGGGTACCTTCTTCAGACTTAAGGTATTTCAAAGGGCAGAAAAACTCAAGCTGAAGTATATCAAAGGGTTTGTAGAAAATCTACCATTCAAGTATTTTCAAAAAGTATTTTTTTGATAAATGAAAATTCTTCAGAAAACGCACCTTATCGCTATGTCCTCTTAGGTGATTAAAGTGCTAAATGAAAATGATAAAGAGGATGACTCAATGTTTTAGCAATTTATTCTTATTAGTAGGTAGTTTTAAGGAGTACACTTTTTCAATGGAAGGTTAACGAAAGGGGCACCTTTTCTGTCAGAGATGGTGTTTAACAGGTTAAGGGGTATGACCTCGGGGCGGAACCTCCAGTCGTAAAACCTTGATAAGTAGCCCCCTTCTCTGGATTGACCTCAATCACTGAAAAAATCTCAATTTAAAGTCTGTATTATCTAGATTAGAGCAGGTAGACTCCAGAAAGTGGATTATATAAAGCGCAATTTCAGATTTCAGTCCCTTTTTCATAAGAGTGTTGTGAGCTGCAAATCTCTCCTAGTCGAATGATTTTTTTTTGTAGGTACGTGAGAAAACAGCCGCCATTTCGAGTTGCCACCAACAGAATGACGTCTTAGGGACAAGGGAAGAAATTTCAACACTCATGACTTGGCACTACCCAGATCTGGGTATGGCCTCTGATTGGTGGAAGCAAAGTGTTTTAAACAATGGGTGGCGTCGCGAAATGTAGCCTTTTTAAATGCTATTCTGAAGGCAGAGGTCACTGCCTTGGCGTGTGGCAAAGGGAGAAAACGTTGTATTTGTTTTGAAAATGATTTGAATACATTTAATGCTTAGCTACACAAGGATCGTTCATTTTACTAGGCCATCGCTTATTTTACTTCGGTCTTCCCCTCCGCTATATTTTTCTAGTTTGGTTTTGAGTTTGTTAGTCTTTGACATGATGAGTAATACAGTGTAACTAATAGATAACCAAAAGAGGAAAATGTTACTATTACAATCTTTTACTTTACCAACGACACGACGTTGTCTGTCTGGGGGGGGGGGTACTCCGTATAATGGCCTATACGAGGAGGCTCCTCCCCCGGTATTTTTTTTAGACAAAACTGAGGCCCTAGGGGACGGAAAAAGTCTTTTTGAGACCCTCCGCCCCCTTATCTGAAGCTCTCGATTCGCCACAGTTCGGGTATATGAAAGGGTAGGGATTTCACTACTTGAAGTATATAAAAAAGGGTAGGGACATCTGGCATTTCGGTCGGTAAAAATAATTAATTATATTTTCAATTGACGTTTATTTTATTTGCTACCTTATTTGCTTCAGGTCCGTTCCCCAAAAAACCAGAGATTCCCTCTCCCATGGTGACTGCAAGTGCGTATTCCAACGCCAGTTTAATATGTTTGGTTGAAATTGATCCGGATGGCTGTGCAGATAGCCTAGAATTACAATGGAGGCATTTGCGTTTCAACAGTTCAGTGCTAATAAAAGGCGATGAAAAGTATGAAATACAAGAAAAGAAGACGGACACCAAGTGCAAAATAGAGTTTATCCTTACTATTAATAACGTCACTAAAGATGACGAGGCGAAGTACAGCTGTAACTCAGTCTGTAGAGTGGGTTCTGGATACGTAAAGTCGGCCACCATTGAGTTAACAGTAGGAGGTGAAGAAGAAGGTAATTTCAAGGGTATCTCCTTAAAACCAGTAACAGGCCCGGAACAGGCTATACGCCCCGGAATACCCTAAAAAATATATCAATTAAGACTTGATTGGATCCATTGTGGGATTTGAAGTATTAACACGACTTGATGTCATGGTTTTGAATAAAACAATAAACGTCTGCTGTTCTTTTCTTGTCGGTGCTAGCAGGAGAGGGGAGGGAGGGGGTGTTTTGCTCACTGCGTAGCAATGATCCTGGAATAAAGTATTTATTATATTACTGACATGTACAGTACTGTGGTACCATCGCCGGCGCGCTGTTAATGTTCACAACCTTGTTTGAGACCTTAAATGCAACAGGCTGCTGGTCCAAATAAA